GCTTAGGTTAGCTTACCAGGAAGTGTAACAAATTTATATATAAATATAAAATTTAAATTTAATTTTAAATTTAGAGATTATATATTTTAACTTTTCATTACGGAAAGTCTTAAAATTTACTATATTAAGAACAACTTACTCTTTTTCAATTATTTTCAAATAAACCAGCTGGAACATGCTATTTAATGATAAAAATGAAGTAACGGAATGCATATTTATTGAAGTTTGTAGAGTCGGGCTCTTTCTTGGTTAAACAAGTATCCACGACTTTACTTTCAAGCTCCATAGACAAAAAACAAAAACTTTCTTTTTATTTAAACGAATTTATTTGTAATTTATCAGCTTGAGAAACAAAACAAGAATTCTCAAATGATCGAAATAGTTTATTTCTATTTATTAAGTTTGCAGTGCAACATTGTAGTAGTTTTAGTCTTTATCCTTATAGTCTATTTTATTTATCTTGAAACCACTAATATTGAAGAAAAAAATAAATATGGGCACATCTTTGCCGAATTCTTTTGATCACAGCAGAAAATGAGATTTCAGAAATTAAAACAATGGCTTGCACAGTGGAGCAAATGTGTTTTATAATAGACAGAAATATTAAATCTCAGAGAATATGAATACTATGCTTCTTTGAAACATTTGTCAGTTGTGAGCATATGGTTTTTGTTTGGAGAAGTAAGAAAAATCTGAAAGAATTGATGATAGACGGAGAAGATTATTTTGTAAAATCCATAACATGTAAACGAGAAAATGGTCTTCGAATACCATTGTAATTATAAATACTTGAATCTGAACATTCAGGTAATAAAAGCAATAAGATTCTTGCTAATTCAATATAATAAACAAGTAATATAAAACAATTAAGTCTGTTCCTACTTAGGTCAACAAAGAAAAATTTTACTTTTTATTATAAATAGTTACAATTAATATAAATATGTACATACATATAACAGAATCACAATATTAAGTGATAAAATAGAAAGCGATTTTCTTTGCCATTTTCCAATTTCCTTTCTATATATGGTGTTGGACTATTTTTGTTAGTTGGCTACTATTCATTCATTAATTACATTTAATTATTCTTATAAAACAGTACAGTAACGAAGAAATCCCATTCTCAGAAATTTGGCCATCCCAGGTGGAACTCGAGTCCACGACCTTTGGATTAGAAGTCCAACGCGGCATCCATTGCTCTACAGGGACACAATGAACGATCTTCCTTTCTATATATGCTGTTGGACTATTATTTTTGTTACTAGTCATTCATTTTTTAATTTAATTAATGAATTAATATCTGAAAAAAATTGTATTGACATCAAGTATCATCAACTACAAGTTTAAAAAAATGTATTTGAACTTGAATGGATGAATAGAAAGTATTTTATAAACGATTGAAAGTTTGAACAAGATATATATAAACAAATATATATTGGGGGAGAGTGAACTAATAGAAGGAATTGAAAAATGACATTGAGTTTAAGCTTATTGGGCTAAGAGAAGCGTATTGCCTATTTGGAGAGCATTCTGAAGAATCAAAATTTGGCAAATCAATGAAAGTGTTAATGGAAGGTTATTTTACTTATGTATGGACTATAGGTTTCGACAGATTCGAAGAGTACTATTATTGCCCTAAGTACTGTTGAAGCAAAATTTTTTGTTGTTGTATCTACGGTGTTGCGCCCCTTAACTTGTTTTTTATGAGTGTAATCGCTATTTCTTTTAAGCAGAATGAATTTTGATTTCTGTTTCTAAGGGAGAGGTTTTCATGCATTGCTCTATTTGAATAGCAGTACATATTTTTTTCACTGTTAAAGTTCTATGAACTTGATCAACACTAATAATGCAGAGCTAGTGAGAAAGATTACCGAGATGCTTGTGGGGTTTATCTTCAGCTAAATTATTATTATGCATAAATTTACAACAAAACTGAGCTTCTGCAGGAGGGAGCCAAATAACACTAACAAAAGAGGAGAATAAATGGAAGACGCAACTAAAATATTCGAGTGATGTAATGACTGTTTCTGAATTCAGACTCGATGAGTCTCAAATTAAATTTAGGGTTGGTTACTACATAAATTGAAGTGGAATAATACCTCCTATTTAAGCAATAAAACTCGATTAATTCTAATTATTCATGAACCCTATTTTTTTATTATTTCTGGGAGAAGTATAAATAAAATTACAGAAAATGCAATTCGCTGCAGTTTTCAATCTATTCTTATGAATGATCTTTGAGATACGAAGTCATTTATTACAAAAGAATCTGGAAGAATTTGAATCAACATATTAGGACAAAATATTTTGCCAATCACTATAAGAGAGAAATTTATACTTAAGTTGATTTTAGGATTGTACAACATTTTCCACAAGTTTCTAGTTTAATAATCTTTCATTCATAAATCCTTTCTAATCCTGTATTTTCAGTAATAACGAAGTTTTTCATTAGTTCTATTAATTTAATGTGACCTACTAACTAAAAGAAAGACTCTTAAAACTTTCTGACTTTTTGATGTAAAAAGCATTATCCAGTTCATTTTCATTGAAAATCCTACAACCATTTGAAATTCCAATTTGGAAAGATCATTTAACGCTTGACCGAAGTAGTACAACCAAATCTATGTAATTGTCTAAACAATTACAGCAAAAGAGACCAACTTACTTGATTGCAGAAGAGGTACTTTCGCTAACTGTCTGTTTCAGACGTCTTTTGCTAAACAGGCTTGAATTAAAACGACGTGTACTTCCGTCATTACCAACAAAGTTAATTACTTCTTTTTAAATTCTTAATTTAGGATGCATATTAAAATGCGAGAATGTTTGTTTAGACTATTTTAAATCTTCAACTGTAGTAAACGTTTGTGTGAATAAAATAAACCAATTTATTACATTTAAATATTTTCGATGTATAAGGTTTTCAGGTTTTTTAAAAAGAAATCCAGTTAATTTTTTCTTCTAATTAGAAAATGAATTAATAGCTAATTCGCTGCGTTTGAGAGCTGATTTGAAAGTTAAGTTTCAATTTTTTAATTATTATATATACTATTTTAACTTTTAATTTTCTTTCTTTCGATAAAACTTGTTTTTATGAAATTTAAGAATCTTTAATGTATGAAAACCATCGTTTGAACTCAGCTGCAGTCTTTAAAAAGTAAAAAAAAAGTATTTGTAACAATATCTATATATTGTACGTCTAATTATCCGGAAGAAGCTGCAATTTATATGCTGTTTTATACATTCTCTTGTGTTTGATTATGATTTATACAATTGTTATTTGCTGCTGTCTTTCATGTTTTGATTTGACAAAAAGCATTAAAATCCGATAAAAACTGGTCAGCAAAATGGGGCTGAAAGGTCATCTAATTTGGTGCAAGTAACAGTGTTTTTAATTTTATTTGTTCATAATGTGTATTAATAAAAGATAATTTATTTCTCAGAATATTAAATTTATTGTTGTTTAAAAATCTTGTCGAGTATAATGCACGCAATATTAATATCAATCGAAAAATAAACCTTTTGCCAGTTGATTGTCGAGTTGAGGAGAATAAATATGTTGTACACCCCATCACACAACTAAAAAGCTGGCTTCTTTTTGTGAATAGGATAACCACGTTCCTATGCACACGTACATCCTTAAAATATTGCGAGGTCTTGTCTTTGGTCATAATCCCGTCAACTTTTGACACCGTGAGACCCTCCTACTCCGCCCACGAGCCGGATGTAACTAGAAGATAAAGAGGCCAACCACTACCATCCCAAGACCCTAGAGAGGGCAAAAAATGTCCGTTGGAAACCTTCGAACAAGATAGACGTAATCTCCTCCCTCCCAAACAACAGAATTTGAACTATAATGAACTAATCAACCTTTAATAACGTCAGTATATACTGTAATTAATAGCTGTGACATAAATATATAAACCAATTATTTAAATTAATAAGTATCACGCTACCATTGTTTTTCTGTAATGTCACAATGTGCATTAGGATGGATCGCAGTTATATGGAAAAAAATTATTATCAATTGGAACCTATATATGCGAAAAGGTGTTTTTTTGGTATGAAGATTATTAGAGAAATAATTAAAAAAAAATGATTTCATAATTTTTGTTAGATGATTTTACGCTCAAAATAAGTATTTTTCTACAATATAAATAACCTAAAGTGATAAATACTGATTGGTGAGTATTGAGTAGTAGAGTATAACATTGCAACACACACTTTTCATAACGAATCAGTCCGATCTCCACTTTTTTTTTCCGTCTTCTGCTTTATCGTGCCCTGTAATTTCGACAGCTGATTTTTTTAAAAAAGAAATTCATACTAAAGAAGCTATTAAGTACACCTCTGATGTTTTTTCTTGTAAATATTTAGCGTGTGTCCTCTCATTGCAATAAATATTAAATAATTCTTGTTTCCTTTTAACAAAAATGGCTGACTTTTAACTATATAAAAAGATCAAATACCTAAACCTCATTTCCATTGTGCCAGTACTTTACATAAACATTAATGTTTTGTTTTATTGTTTCCTCTATATACTACAGAACAGTGGTTGACATAGAACAATTTTTGAGGACTCACAGAACCCTTGAAATTATAAAATGTCCCCTCGGAACTTCACGCAAAAAAGCCTTAGAAAAATATATCTCAAAATAATATTTAAAGTAGATCAACATGTTGATACTTTAAGTAAAGACAATCATAAAAAATGCTGAATTTCTTATTAAAATTTTTTATTATAATAATATTATGTAATTTACTCATTAATTTGTGCTCCAGGTGTCATATCTACCCTTGCATCATATTAAATAACTGAGACATATGTGTTTGTCTTTTTTTTTCAAATTTCAAATTCTACGTTAATTGATATTGTATTCTTTTTTTGTTGCCACATATACGTTGAAAAATATTTTTAACTTAAATACATTGTTCAAAGAATGGCATTAAAATGTTTATAAATGTGTGAGAAACTTATACGTACTCTGCGAATTTGTAACCTAAAATTTAGGAGCTGTTCCTGCTTAAATTCAAATTTTACCGTGGAATCTGTTCATGTTGTACCTTTTCCTTCATTTACAAGTCTGATTTATCCATTCATGCTTGAAGCACGTGACTTCTATGGAATAAGATTTTAAGGTATCCGACTACGTTCGGAACCGTGATTTTGCAAAAGCGTGTAAACGGATAATATTTATAAAATTTTTAAGGACATTATGACAAAAAAAAATTATTTAAATTCAATATTTTGGCACAAAATTAACTGAGAATAACCTTTTTTCCAAATGTTCTCGTTTTGTAAAAAATGCTTCTATTGTATTAATATTTTGCCTGTATTCAGCTCAGACCTCTGTACAGAGGCTCAACTAGAATTTTTGAAATGCATAACTCGGAAGTTGATTTATGCATGTTTTACGAAAACAGAAGGGAGAAATTTTAAGAAAATGTGCCGATAATTAGTTCAAATGGTTGTAACTCTGAAAATAATTTGAATTTTTCAAAAATCAAAGAGTACAGAGGTACAGAGGTCTGAGTTATATACAGGCAAAATATTAATACAATAGAAGCATTTTTTACAAAAGGAGAACATTTGGAAAAAAGGTTATTCTAGTTAATTTTTTGCCAAAATATTGTATTTAAATTTTTTTTTTTTGTCATAATGTCCTTAAAACAATTTTATACATGCATTCTAATCTAAGGGACACTAAATATCATGAAAAATATACATTTATGCGTTTTTTTTAAATCATGGTTCCGAACGTAGTAGGATACCTTAATTTATCCATAAAATATTTATTTATATTTATTTTTAAAAGCAAATTGCCTCAAGGATTTGATTTCTTATAAAAACTAAAATTTCGCTAAAATTTTGGCGTTTTGGTTAAGCTACAAAGCTCCAGGCAACCCAGATTGAAGACCAGGGCCGTAGTTACCGCCGTATCAATGATACGGGGCCCCGAAGCTACAGGAACCCCAGAATCTGTAAGTACAGTCCCACTAACAGGGCTCACTCAGAACTAGCTACGCTTTTGTTGAAGACCTTTACTATAGAATATCTTTTTCGTATAGGTAGGTTTTGAAATTATAAAAAAAAAAAAAATTCGATCCACCTTAATGTATATCCTCTCATAAGCTTTATCATTGATTCTCTAATAGGTCATAAATTATTCATAGAGAGTTAATACTTTGTAGAATTATGTTAACAATTATAT